CTATATACGCTAATTATACAGTCCCTAATTTATTACTTTATATTAGCTAAAACTAGGAAAGACCTAGCGCCTTTCTAAACCGCATTAAGACGCACTTAGTATATCTTATCTTCTAATACTACTTTATCCTATAGTATCTATATATACAGGTTAGTAAAGAGGCTAGCGCCCTTTAGTAACTTAAATACCTCCTCTACTTCTAATACTACAACCTAAATTAATTTAGGGCGCATTACTAACTATAGTGTTGCTTTAGAGGAGTTTAAATCTTATAGTTACCTACTTAAGGTATTAGGTTATCCTATAAGATAGCTAGGTCTATACTATAGGATATACTAGTATTTTAAAAGTTCCTCTACCTAGTAGTACTATTACTTACTTAAGCTTTAAAGGCTAGTAAAGTACTCTAGGTTTTTATAGTTTATAAATATTATAAATAGCTTATAAACGCTCTATAGCTCTACTAACTAACTTTTAAGATACTTAATAATAGCTAGTAATTCCTTATTATATATAGTGTAGTTTTATCTCTCTAGTGTTAGTGCTATAGAGTAGTAAGTAACTAGGCGCTAGACGCCCCTAACTTTTTATAATAAGCAACCCCTAAAAGCGTATCCTAAATAGTCTACTTCTAATAATATTTCTTTAGCTAGGTCCTATTATATTAGTACTAGTCTAGATATAAATACCTTTTTTAGTGTATTAAATATACTCTATTCTTCCTCTCCCTATTAGAATAGGGTATCCTTTCTAGTTAGTTAGTTTAAAGGCGCTACTACTTTAAAAAAACTTTGCAATAAAATTATAGTAGAAGTTAGCAAAACCTAGAAAACTCCTTACCTCTCTTATATTCCTAGGGGATTCCTATTCCTATACTACCCTAAGCTTTTTAGGGTTAGGTCTAAGTAATTTGCCTACCTTAATAATATAGCCTAGGTAGTGTACCTTCTTAATACTAAATATACACTTCTCTAAGTCTAGGTATAGTCCTACTTCTTTTAATAGTATAAGTACACGCTTTACTTTTTCTATATAGTTAAACTAGTCTCCTCCTAAATAAATTAGGATATTATTAAGGTAGGCTATTATATATAATCTAAGTAACTCTATAAGTATAGTATTAATATATTATTAGAAAGTAGATAGCGTACTACTAAGACTAAATAGATATACTAACTATTTATATAACCTAAACTAGGTATAGAAAGCTATTAAGGACTTATAACCTTCTACTATTCTAACTTTATAAAAGGTAGCGTAAATATCTACTTTTATAAACTAATTTACACTAGATAGTATATATAAAGTTTCCTTAATAAGTAGTAGTAGGTATTAGTCTAATATTATTATACTATTAAGTATCTAGTAATCTATATAAAGGCGCTAACTACCTAATAGCTTCTTTACTAGTAATACTAGAGCTCTAGCTATAGAAGAGCTTGCTTAGATCTAGCCCTTATCTATTAATCTAGTAAGTTATATTCTTAGTTCTAGTAATTAATTATAAGATATAGGGTATAGGGGACCCTATAGGGGGTTAGGCTAGGTTCTATCTAGGAGAGTTATTAACTAAATATATGTAATCTATACTACCTTAATAAGGTAGTAAACTACTTACTAACTCTTTGTTAAACAGGTCCTTAAACTCTTATAGTTCTAGTAGCAACTTTATCTTTCTAGTTTTATACTTAGGTTTATAGGGAACTATACTATTAGTAATATAGATAGTATATATATTAATAGGACTTCCCTTATTAATACTTCCTAGATATTTTATTAGGCGTAAGTTATATATTACTTATAAAATATCTAGTATATTTATTATAAAAATTTATACCTATATATCTTCCTATTAAGGTCCTTAATTTAGTAACCCTACTATAACTAAACCTAAGATAATAGAGATATAGGTAGAATATAGGTGTCTCCTGCTCTCTTATACTACTATATTTCCTGCCTTCCTAATTATTAATTTACCTTATAGAATATCTATAACAACGCCCTCTCTGCACAGCTATAGTCTGCCTAGTATTAGTTAATAGGAGAGACTAGGTACTATATAAGCTAAAAGCTAAGACTACTAACTATCTAAATTATAGTCTAATACTACTAACTATAAAATTCTTATACCCTTAGTAATTCCCTAGGTATATTATAAGGGTTACAGGGGAATATTAATAAAGTTCCTACTAATCTATCTTGCTAACTTTTCCTTAACTATACTAAAACACTAGCACCCTAAATTAACTATTACTTGCATATTCTCTACTCTACCTAGAAGGAGGGGAATAAAGAAAGGAGGATTATTTAACCTAGCCTTAATATCTAGGGGATACTTAATAGCCTCTACTATTAATAATTCCTCTATTATAGTATCCTCCTTATACCCCTAACTTAGCCTAAAGTTAGGGGCAGCTAGTTTCCTAAATTAGGGCTACTTACTAATACTACAACTATCTTAACACCTACTAGTTATAGTAATAGGGTATTAGGGTATGCACGTATAAAATAACTACCCTATCTATATTAGGTGTTAACCTTTGCTAGTTTTTATATATTAAACAGGTCCTATAGGATCTAGTTAGGATATAATATTAGTAGTTTAGTAGGTATACTTAATAAGGCTACTACTTCTACTATATTTGTGTTGCTATCCTAATCTAAGTTAGACTTCTACTAGGGTTCCTTAGACTTACTAGCCTAAAGAAAGCCTAGTTCTAGATAGGCTATTTTAATATCTACTATAATTATCTTATATTCTTCTATACCTATATTATAGTTTATCCTAGAGACCCCCCTATTAAGGGAAACTAAGCGTATATAGCTATTAAGAGATTAGTAAAGTTATAAAAGCTTTAATTTATTATCCTAGTATAAACCTCCTAACTATATAAAAAGTTATATAAAATTTATAAAGAACTCTATAAAAGGCTAATTTTAGCCCTAATATAAGTATTCTAATATAACTTAGGCGCGCTCCTACCTATAATAGTTACTATAATAGAATACTAGGTAGTTAAGAAACCTACTTATATCCTAATATTTACGTATACTATCCTTAAAGTATAGTGCTATAGCGCACGAGACTATAGGTAATAACTAGGACTAAATATATATAAACCTTGCCTCCTTATCCCTAATAAAGACCTTATCTACACGTAGTTTAAACTCTATAGTTATTTACTAGGAGGAGAAGTTTGCCTTAGTGCTATTATATAGTAAGCTAACTAGGAAAGGTTTATAGTATAAGGTAGGGGAGGGTAGAGGTAGTATATTATTAAACCTAGCAGGCTTAGAGGAGGGTTAGGATAGAATCTAATTACGTATTTCCTTATTCTATTAACGTAGTATAGCTATTATAGTAGAGTCTTAAGCCTATTATTCTATTAATCTATAGACCTATTATATTAGCCTTTCTACTATATTAGGTTGCACCTAATTATTCTAAATATCTAGCGTGTCTATCTCTTATTACTATTATAGTATATTTAGAAGAAGATACTAAAATATTATAGACTAGCCTTAAGGGAGAATATAATAAGTGTTAATAATAGTATTTAGTATCTTAAAGGAGAGATAAGCCCTCTACGCCTTTTTATAGGTGTCTAGTGTGTTCGCTTAGTAGTAGTGTTAGACTTGGTCTATCTTGTGTTAGACCTAGGCTTAGGCATAAGCCCAAGTCCTTCATATTAAGTAGTAAGATACCTATTACTTTAAAAGCTATTAATATTAGCTTTTCCTTAAAGGTATTACTCTATATAGTATTAAATAACTAGTAGAAATCCCTTTTAGTAATACTTATAAGCCCTTAGGAGCTATCTAGAAAACTAGATAGTTAAGCTTTATATAAAGCTACAAAGGGAGCAAATACTATAATATTAAGTGGCTAAAGGGTATAAGTGCTATAAGGGGGATATATTATAAGTAAGATCTTATATTTATTATTGTACTTAATAAACTCTATTATTATATAAGATCTATAGCTATTAAAGATAAGGAGCTAGTATAAAGTATAAGCTTTAGCTTTTGTCTTGCGATTAAACACCTCCTTAAGCTAGGATACCCCTAGGGTGTGGCTTATTTACCTACTTAGTAATCCTATAAAGAAAGCTTAGTATTATAATAGGTTAAAATCTTATAACTAGGTATCCTATAAAGCTCTAGATTAAGACTAATAAATAAGAGTAGAGGTAAGACGTCACGTACTATTAGCGCATATATAAGCTATAGTAGTAATCTACTCCCTATTACTATCCTAGAGTATAGCTCTAATCTTTCTCTGCTTATAGGCGCTCTTATTAAATATATATTTAGTTTTTAATAGTACTCTAATAAGAAAACCCTTCTTATCTATATTATAGATATACTAACTCTTAATATTATATTACTCTATTTTTTAGTATAAAAGCTTAAAGTATAAGCTATACTTAAAGGTAGAATTAGCTTTAAAGTAGTTATAATTAAGCCTAGTAGCCTAATAGGAGATAAGATTAATATTATAGTAGTTAATAAAGCGCTACACTTAATTTTTGCCTACTAGATTCCCTATTATTTTAGTTATAAAATTTTAAATAATAGTCTATATAGGGGGTAATCCTTACCTATAAAGCTCTTTAATATACTCTATAAGCTTACTTTCTTATATAGTATTAAGTATTTAACTATTTAGTAGAGTAGTAGTATACGCCTGCTAAATTTTCTAGTAGTGTCTAGATAAGGTTAACTACAAGCAACTATACTTTTCTACTATTTCTAAGTATGTAAAATCTTCTCTAAGAGTTAAGGATTTAATTGCTACAAGCGCGTTGTTAATAGGTGCCATAGTTGTTAAGAAATTTAGTGTTGAAAATTTGGTGATTTTGGTGTTGGTGGGCGCTCGGTGGGGGTGGGCGCTCGGTGGTGGATCACGTTAGCCAACAGAAACCAAGACCTCTGACCTCAACCACAGAGCAGCAGCAGCCAACAACAACGCGCGCTAGGTGCATACACCCGAGCTGCAGATGTCGTCAGGGTTTGTGAGCGGTGGAACTGCCGGCGAGGAGGTGGAACGAAACGACGAATGGAAGCGTGCCCAGCGTGAAATTGAAGAGGCTCGAAAAGCCAAAGCCGATCTGGCGAAGCAGCAAGATGGGAAATCGTTGTTCGAGATTCTGCAGGCCAACAAGGATAAAAAGCAGGCCGAGTTTGAAGAGAAAGCCCGGTTCAAACTACACAACGCACTAGATGATGACGAAGCCGATTATTTGGACTCTATACTGGAGAAGAAGAGACAAGAGGAGATACGCATTAAGAAGGAAACCCTTGCACAACTAGACTTGTTCAGAACCCAACAGGAGGAGACCGAGCGGCGAGCGTTGGAGGCAGAGAGTGTGGAATCGACGAGGGAAGACCAGCAGCAGTGGGCTATTAAAGGACGAAAGAGGAAACATGGATCTGAAGCAGGGTTCTTGAAAGGCGTAAAGTTAAGGAAATCAAGTCCCGTGAGGGAGGAGCATGAGAAGCTTGACAAGATGACGGCAATTCAGAGTTCTGCACCACAGAGCAATGCCACCAGCTCGATGCCTCAGCAAGTATCTGCTCCGAGATCCTTGCCCACGTCATCGTCTGCCAAGCTTACAAATACACTTTCGCTTGGCCTGGGTTACACGTCCTCAGACGAAGAAGACTGACTGTACAAATGGGTCCTCTTAATGAGACCCGTGACAATTGAGATCACTAGCATTCTTGCCGAATTGAGAGCATTTAATGTGATGCAATTGTACGTCCAGAAAGGATGCAACACATCTACAGCGACCATCAGTCTACTAAGGCATCCATGGATATATGTCATGCAGCTTCCGATGGCGGAGCGCGACTGTCCGTTGTGACGACATTCGATGCGGTTCTTGTCAGTTTGTGGCCGAATGGCTGGGCTTTAACGGGCTGCTATGGGGATGGAATGTGGGAATAGTGATGAATTACGTCAATCATGGCATTGTGGCCTCTGAAATAACGTGAACAATACATTTGGTGGAAGCACTCCAAGTGTCCTGAGGATGGCCCCTGCCCCCTTCATGTGTGCATGGCCAGATACCTAGCATGTGAGAGTGAACCACCAAACTCACGCGGGCTGTTGCACTAACGGTAATTTGACTAGGGCTGCCGCGATGCGCGTCATTTCAACCAACCACAGCTTGAGGTAGCGTAGTAGTACTACAGCCGCGCGCTTGCCCTAGGGCTCCAACGACGCGCATTTGTCGACGCGCGCGAGCTTGCAGTGCCCTGCCTACTGTTGTCTCCTTGTACATCTGCGACAACGTACTCTCCGACATTGGATGCCTTTTCCTGAGCGAGGTGCACGCTGCCATGGTAAGCTGGCTCTAAACAGTCGCACCCAAGAGCACGGAGTGGCTGACAGTGGCGGCTCACCGCTAGAATTCTAAGTCGCTTCGTAGGCTAGCTGGCGACCATGGTTCCCTCCACACAGCTGGTCTCCCTCCAAACTACCTATTCCCACCGTCGTCGGACGCCTCTGCGGATCTGACCTCCCTCGATGTGCTTCTCGCCGGACCCGTGGGCACACCTTACGCTGGCGGTGTCTGGCGACTGCATCTCGATATACCACCCAACTACCCGAATGCCCCACCTACAGCACAATTTCGCACGCGGCTATGGCATCCCAATATCGACGAAAGGACTGGCGCTGTCTGTGTGGAGACACTGAAACGGGATTGGAGCAGCTCCCTTAAGCTGAGAGACGTCTTGGTTACAATATCTTGTTTACTTATTCAACCGAATCCAACAAGCGCGCTCAACGAAGCAGCAGGGAAATTGGCCACTGAAGACTGGGACACATACTGTAGGCGTGCCAAGCTAATGACCGAGATCCATGCTCCAGTACCTGTAAACATAGCAGATCAGGTCAGAGAAGCTCAGATGCGGGGGGATGACTTCATTCCACGGCCTGAGCTACCCACGTCCAAGCCAAAACGCAATGGAGAGGAACTCGAACAGGCTGGACTTCTACATTCGGCTTCGAAACTACAGAAAGCTACCGGTGAAGATGAGGAGAACACCCGACGCCGCGGCAGCACAGATGAGACAGAAAGTGATCCGGAAGGTGATTGGATACCAGAACCCGACAGTGCTTCCAAAGCGCCGGTCACGAGTGGGGTCAACAATGTCTTTGGCCTCAAAAGCATTGACGATACTATGCACCTAGATCAACGACCAGCCAAAAGATTATATACCGCAATCGATTCAGCAGTAGGGCAAGGGAGGCATATTGATACGCATGATACAGAACCATCTACTACTGTCGTTTCCAAGCGCGGTGCTCAACAAAGCAACTCTGTGAACCTTAGCATCCCCGAGACTCGAGAGCATCTTCGCTTCTCTCATCAAAATCCTTTCTCGGCCCTTCAACCTAACAGCCAGACTCATCCTTTGATTCGAGCATTCTCATATTCGTGGCCAGACACAATGGTTACATCAGACACAGATGGCATTGAAGGTGTCACAAGCAAAGGCCAAGCTCGGAAGAGGCTTGTCTGTGATGATTTGGAGACGAAGCGAAGCTGGGAGATGAAGAGGTTTAGGAAGACTGGGTTCAATCTGGGACGCTACAATCGTGGCGAATTTGGTCCTAGGACTGGCATTAATCGGCTCTGATGGGCTTGAGGACGTCAACTTACTCTTTTGAGTCACATGTTGACTGAATGTCAAGTCTTGGGAGATTGTTATAGTAACATGCAAATACAAATACATCTTTTATTGCTACACGGCCTATTAGCCATCTATTTAAGTTATATACAACTTAATATATAATATAGTAGAATAGTAGGCAGCTAAGCAAAGATTAGGACGTGAGAATAACCAAGCGGACGCTCAGCTTAAGCCCTACGAGCCCATAGATTAGGGCGGTTAACAGCAGACCAAGGGTTTGGGAGGCCTAAGCACATAACATAAGGACGCTTAATTAAAGGTCTAGTATAGTGTTATAGACTAGCTATAAGGGTATAAGTAGCTATAATATAAAGTAGCTAGTATTGTAACAACGCAGGTAGGTAGGGCATCTAAAAGGTGTCCTATACAACTTAAAGGCATATAGGAGTGCGCGTCTATATAGAAAAGGATAAGATTCCTATACCTATAGGTCTTGTATAAAAGGATAAGAAGAATATACCTATCCTAATATAGGTAAGCTACTCTCTATATATATTAGTAAGTTAGGCCTTTATTAGGCCTAACTTAGTATAGAATAATAGGCAAGTAATTCTACCTTATTATTATACTACCCCCTCCTATAGAGAAAGGATAGTCCCTATACTTATAATTAGGTTTAGATCCCTTATTAAAGAAATACTCTTATAAAATAATTCTACCTTTGCCTCTACCTTTACCTTTACTTCTTATTCCTAGGGTATAGACCCTTATCTATAGCCTACCTATATCTAGCCCTCTACCTACTAACTTTCTTATTCTTATATCCCTAAATTTTTAAACTTTTAACCTATATTATCTAAAATCTAGTAAGTATTTAATCTATATAATTAAGTAGTTACTAATCTAAATTAGAACCCTTTACTATACTAGTCCTAGTACTACTAGAAGTACTACTAGTTACTTATTACGCTCTCTATATAAGATCTATTAGGGCTATTACTTAGGGTAAGTTTAATAATTCTAACTTTAAGTCTAAGAATTCTAAGAAGTACTACTACTATATTTCTTAGAATAAGTACTATAATCTAGTTAGTATTTAAGTCTAGTAGGGTTTCTTTTCTAATTATAATAGATTCCCTCCTATATTAGCTATAAGTACTCTTTAAGGTACTCTTAATAAGTACTATAGTCTAGTTATAAACCCCCCTAAAGGGTATAAAGAAGAGGAGACTTTAGAGTCCTTTTAGTTAGATATTAAGTTATTTAAGGCTACTATTTAAGAAGCTACCTAAAACCTAGCTAAATATATTATAGTTACTAATTCTTAGACTAAGGGTATAGAGGCTATAGAGATCCTAATAGTGTAATAATAAGGTAGAATTGCCTAACTATTATTCTATACTAAGTTAGGCCTAATAAAGGCCTAACTTACTAATATATATAGAGAACAGCTCGCCTATAGTTAGGATAGGCATATTCTTCTTGTCCTTTCGTATAAGACCTATAGGTGTAGGAATCTTATCCTTTTCTATATAGACGCGCACTCCTATATACCTTTAAGTTATATAGGATACCTTTTAGATACCCTACCTACCTAAGTTGTTATATTATAAGAAGAATATTATCCTAGCTAGTAATAGTATTTAAGAATATTATATTTATTATTATTTTAAGCTACTAATTTAGTTCTAGTAGTTATCTAACCCTATAACTCTATAGTTAGAATAGCTATTAGAACTTCTAATAACTAAAGCCTATAGGCTTAGACTTCTAGACCTATATATAGTGCTAGATTACCTTTAGAAAAATTGCGTTAGATTACGTTAAGGTAGAGACCTAGAGACTACTAAAAGCCTAGAGGAATTAGAGGCAAAGCTAATATCCTTCTATAACTAATCCCTCTAAAGAAAAGATTTATTATTCTTATTAACTACTATAAAGGGCTTAGGCTTATACCTAAGCCTAGGCCTAATATAAGATAGACTAAGTCTAACACTACTACTACTACTAAGTAAACACACTATACACCTATAAAAAGGTATAAAGAGCTTACCTCTCCTTTAAGATACTAAATACTGTAAAGGGCTTAGGCTTATGCCTAAGCCTAGGTCTAACACAAGATAGACTAAGTCTAACACTACTACTAAGCGAACACATTGCACACCTATAAAAAGGCGCTAAGGGCTTACCTCTCCTTTAAGATACTAAATACTATTATTAACGCTTATTACATTCTCCCTTAAGGCTAGTCTATAATATTTTAGTATCTTCTTCTAAACATACTATAATAGTAATAAGAGATAGACGCGCTAGATATTTAGAATAACTAGGTACAACCTAATATAGTAGAAAGGCTAATATAACAGGTCTATAGATTAATAGAATAATAGGCTTAAGACTCTATTATAATAGCTATACTACGTTAATAGAATAAGGAAATACGTAATTAGATTCTATCCTAACCCTCCTCTAAGCCCACTAGGTTTAATAATATACTACCTCTACCCTCTCCTACCTTATATTATAAACCCTTCCTAGTTAGCTTGCTATATAATAGCACTAAGGTAAACTTCTCCTCCTAGTAAATAACTATAGAGTTTAAACTGCGTGTAGATAAGGTCTTTATTAGGGATAAGGAGGCAAGGTTTATATATATTTAGTCCTAGTTATTACCTATAGTTTAGCGCGCTATAGTACTATACTTTAAGGATAGTGCATATAAGTATTAGGATATAAGTAGGTTTCTTAACTACCTAGCGTTTTATTATAGTAACTATTATAGGTAGGAGCGTGCCTAAGTTACGTTAGAACACTTATATTAGGGCTAAAATTAGCCTTTTATAGAGTTCTTTATAAATTTTATATAGCTCCTTATATAGTTAGGAGGTTTATACTAGGATAATAAATAGAAGCTTTTATAACTTTAGCAATCTCTTAATAGTTACATGCACTTAGTTTCTCTTAATAGGGGAGTCTCTAGGACAAACTATAACGTAGCTATAGAGGAATATAAGATAATTATAGTAGACTATTAAAATAGCCTCTCTAGAACTAGGTTTTCTTTAGGCTAGTAAGTCTAAGGAACCCTAGTAGAAGTCTAACTTAGATTAGGACAGCAATATAAATATAGTAGAAGTAGTAGCCTTATTAAGTGCACTTACTAAACTGCTAATATTATATCCTAACTAGATCCTACAGGACCTATTTAATATATAGAAACTAGCAAAGGTCTACACCTAGTATAGATAGGGCGGTTATTTTATACATGTATACCCTAATGCCCTATTACTATAACTAGTAGGTGTTAAGATAGTTATAGTATTAGCAAGCGGCTCTAATTTAGGAAACTAGCTACCCCTAACTTTAGGCTAAGTTAGGGGTATAAGGAGGACACTATAATAGAGGAATTATTAATAGTAGAGGCTATTAAGTGTCCCCTAGATATTAAGGCTAGGTTAAATAATCCTCCTTTCTTTATTCCCCTCCTTCTAGGTAGAGTAGAGAACATACAAGTAATAGTTAATTTAGGGTGCTAGTGTTTTAGTATAGTTAAGGAAAAGTTAGTAAGATAGATTAGTAGGAACTTTATAGATATTCCCCTGCAACCCTTATAATATACCTAGGGAATTACTAAGGGTACAAGAATTTTATAGTTAGTAGTATTAGACTATAATTTAGATAGTTAGTAGTCTTAGCTTTTAGCCTATATAGTACCTAGTCTCTCCTATTAACTAATACTAGGCAGACTATAGCTATGCAGAGAGGGCGTTGTTATAGATATTCTACAAGGCGAATTAATAATTAGGAAGGCAGGAAATATAGTAGTATAGGAGAGCAGGAGACGCCTATATCCTACCTATATCTCTATTATCTTAGGTTTAGTTATAGTAGGGTTGCTAAATTAAGGACCCTAATAGGAAGATATATAGGTACAAATATTTATAATAAATATACTAGATATTTTATAAGTAATATATAACTTACGCCTAATAAAATATCTAGGAAGTGTTAATAAGGGAAGTCCTATTAATATACACACTATCTATATTACTAATAGTATAGTTCCCTATAAGCCTAAGTATAAAACTAGAAAAACAAAGTTACTACTAGAACTATAAGAGTTTAGGGACCTGTTTAACAAAGAGTTAGTAAGTAGTTTACTGCCCTATTAGGGTAGTATAGATTACTATATTTAGTTAATAACTCTCCTAGATAGAACCTAGCCTAACCCCCTATAGGGTCCCTTATACCCTATATCTTATAATTAATTACTAGAACTAAGAACACAACTTACTAGATTAATAGACAAGGGCTAGATCTAAGTAAGCTCTTCTATAGCTAGAGCTCTAGTATTACTAGTAAAGAAGCTATTAGGTAGTTAGCGCCTTTATATAGATTACTAGAGACTTAATAGCATAATAATATTAGACTAATACCTACTACTACTTATTAAGGAAACTTTATGCACACTATCTAGCGTAAATTAGTTTATAAAAGTAGATATTTACGCTACCTTTTATAAAGTTAGAATAGTAGAAGGTTATAAGTCCTTAATAGCTTTCTATACCTAGTTTAGGTTGTATAAATAGTTAGTATATCTATTTAGTCTTAGTAGTGTGCTATCTACTTTCTAATAATATATTAATACTACGCTTATAGAGTTACTTAGATTATATATAATAGCCTACCTTAATAATATCCTAATTTATTTAGGAGGAGACTAGTTTAACTATATAGAAAAAGTAAAGCGTATACTTATACTATTAAAAGAAGCAGGACTACACCTAGACTTAGAGAAGTGTGCGTTTAGTGTTAAGGAGGTACGCTACCTAGGCTATATTATTAAGGTAGGTAAATTACTTAGACCTAACCCTAAAAAGCTTAGGGTAGTATAGGAATAGGAACCCCCTAGGAATATAAGAGAGGTAAGGAGTTTTCTAGGTTTTGCTAACTTCTACTATAATTTTATTATAAAGTTTTCTAAAGTAGTAGCGCCTTTAAACTAA